CGACTTGATCTTATCCGAAGCAGAAATACTTGTCAAAAGTCTTAATTGGAATTGGGATTTTTATTGATTCTTTTTTGGTGTTAATTGTGACTTAATTAGGACCAAAATGCTATGCCTTCCATGTCAAACAAAGCTTATAAAGCTCTTAGCTATGTAGTATGTACGTACATTTTGTTTAAAATTGTCAATGGCGGATCCCTGCCCTCAAGGTCAATCTAGAAACATACTACCAGTAGGTACCAGTTATCGTATGTTAACCCAAACGATCGTAAAAAAAAATCTTAAAAAAATATAGTACGAGACCTACCAAAGACACAAACATCTAAGGCTGGGTTGCACCATCATAATTTGACTTTGACAAACGTCAAAAATCTGTCAAACTCCATACAAAAAGCACCGGTTACCATCATAGTTACCGTTAAAATTAGATGGTGCAACTCAGCCTAATATTTAGCCTACACATTAACACGTTCAATGCCACAGCCTACCATTATCAATAAAATTGCATAATGCTGCAGTTAGATTTTCAGACATTAAACTGCATGCGGGTCACTGCGGGTAAGACTATAAATCATTGTGATGACTTTTTAATAGATATTACGACTTGATGTAATAGAACAGCGGTTAGAAGGAGTCTCAGTGATTTTATTTTATTTTATTTTTCTTTATTAAGGAAACAAACAGCATGAGTTTATACAAGTGAACTTAAAAAATAAAAACAATACAGTAGCCTAATCAGTTTCCACAGATAAACTTTACAAGTTAATCGAAAGTTATGCAGAAGTGATGAAGAAAGAAAGTGATGTGACTTTGCCTTGGATTTCAGAGAAAGAGTTACGAATCGAAAAGATAATCATTATGTCGTATGTCCTGGAATTTGGGATGGTTTTATGAAACGGCAGCTCCGTTTGTTGCCGGATTAAGACTACTTGAAAGATACTCTTAGCATTTTTGTAGTTTGTTTGGTGCTGTTTTTAGTGCTCCCCTAGACGTGATGCCCTAAGCAGTTATTAATTTTCTTAAGGGTTAATCCGGCACTGAGCTCAAGACTTGAGTCAAGCTCAAGCATAGCAGATGTGCCACAATTAACACCTAAATAACATAGGTGGTAGACTATATTGCACACCATACAAAATTGACTGAAAAGAAATAGGTAGGTACCTATAAAATTGTAATGGAACAATTTAGGACTGTCTTATCGCTAGGAAGCGATCTCTTCATTAGAACTCAGGAGAAGACAGTTTACGAAAATGAGCGAAATCTAAAATTAGTTAAGACTTAAGATACAAACAAAAATATATTAACATGTTTTGATTTAAATAAGTGACAGTATAGCGGAGACCAATCTCCTCGCAAGGTGATCTAGGCATTAGCATCCACTCCCGCGCACGTAAGTAATATAATTCATTTATTAGGATTTAACATTGGAATGTTTAGATAACCTGAATAGTTTGATTCGAATATATCCGTCGTTGGATGGGTTAAGCGTGTTCCTTAAATAAATCCATAAAGCAATGCTGGGAGTTTGAATTCGTACTTAATTACATTTTGTACTTTGTTACCGCTTCTGTAGTCTACTCTACGAGTAGGTACTCTGAAGAACGTACTTCTCTACTCGTACCGTACTTACTTCTCTACTCTGAAGAAGGTGGCAGATTTTTCTGTTCGGTTCGGCATGTTCTAAGTCCACCTGGCTAGCTACCACCGTCTTACCTAAGTTTGCGCCATAGCAACAATGTTAACAGTGTGGGATATGATGCTCAACCACAATAAGGAAGCTAGATGTTAGTGCTTCCTTCCGAGCGGGTGTTATGCTCGGGGACCAAGGTCCAATTTACATCATCTTGGTTTGTCTATAATAATTGGCAGGATATAAAACTCCGTCACCGCGATGCAGGTTTGTATGAGCGACGGAGTGTGCCATAGTGTAGTAGTGACAGCGCCATCTGTTGGTACACAGTTTGTAGTGGCGTATCGTCGGTGTCGCCACAACAGCATTGCTATTTTCCAGCAGTTGAAAGTAAGATAGCCAATTCCTCTGTGGTTGAGAATTTCGGATGAAGGTAGCTAGCTTCCACCTTCGGCCTGATCATCACTTTCCATCATTCAGGTGAGATACAGGCAAGAGCTTCCTCGTCGTGGATAAAAAAATGAGTCCGTCCTGAAACGGCGCAGTTACACTATGCGAGAAATTGATCCAATAAAAGCGCGAGCACGCACACCGAAGTATAAGACACTCACAGTGAAACCACAGAATAATAATAAGTACTACGTACAGAAGTTATACTTCGCGAAGGTATTTAGAAAAATGTATGCTCAATGTCATTAACAATATGGTGTAATTTAGCCTGTCTCAAGAGTCAAGCACCATTTTGTTGACAAACGTCAGTGATCGGCACTGCGCCGAAGCTATAGGGCTGACTTCGGTAAAATGATGTGACGTGAGGTGCCAAACTGCGGAAAATGGCGGAGGAAATACCATGATTTAGCATGAATTATCATGAATAATATTAAACAAGAATACGCGTGCGTGAGTCAATGTTCGCTCGTATGTGAGGCCTTGTCGAATATTATCCTGTAGGTGGGCCATCGTGCGTGTTTTGTTTTCGATGTAAACTCGCGGAGATGAACAGGCCTGGTGAAACTAACAGAAGTGCGTGTTTACACTATATTTTTCGATCAATTTCCCGCATAGTGTGACTTCGCCATGAGGATTCCGGCAAAATGACAGTGAAAATTCACTTTCATGTCTATTACTTAAATGGCGCATTATGCCAAGGGCTCTGTGACCTATTGTTAGCAAGTCTCCTACCTAAGTACCTACTTGTTGATCAGTTGACAGTTGGGCCTACAATCAACGGATCAAAGGACGTCGTTCGTCACGCCAGTCGTGACCCGTGGGCCGGTAGGATCCGGGTTTGATTCCGAATTGTTGTTGAAGTATAACTATAGTGAATTTGTTTAAGCAAGCAGTGTTTGTTTACTATTTTGCCGCGCTCCATTAACGCTTTTGTGGTAACTGGTAATTGGATGTGTAGTTTGTGTGCAGAAGCTGCAAGCACAAAATAAGACTGTAGGTTTGCTTCTCAGGCGGGCCATCTAATTAAAAGAAGGCAGTTATAGAGCAAATTAATATATGTATATACCTAGCTACCTACCTACTGTAAGTTAGGTACGAAACCTATTATGTGAGGGAATTGAAAACTGCAGGGTTATCTACTTAGTACGAGTAGGCCTACCTACTTCGTATGTTGGTACCTACAATATTATGTCCATACGTTTCCGAAAACTATAATCCGGGCCTTTTCAAGGCGAGAGTGAATAGGCACTTACAGGGCAGATAAAATATTATTATGTAACCATCTTAGACTGCATCCCAAGCAGGTGAAGGTGCGATTGTGGTCAAATAGGTACCTGCCTTGTTTTGCATTAAAAAAAAATCAGTTCTGTCTCACTTTTGATAAAAATTCTGAATTATTTATCAAAGCTTTTTCAAGGAGGTCCAATAAGAAATCAGGCTGAATCATTTCTGAGTTGCACCACCTTTGACCGTAACTTTAAAACGAAAACCGGTGTTTTTTATATGGAGTTTGGCAGATTTATAAAAGATGGTGCAACCCAGCCTTAGTCAAATAATATAGGTAATCGTAGGTTTATTTAAATTAAGTGTGGCATTTTTATTAACTTCTCTTCCGTGATTAGGCATAGGCCATAGCCACTGTTTTGTTTCGAGACACGCCGTAAAAAGTCCGCGCCCCCGGCTGCCGGCAAGCGCCACGTTCGGAATAGGATTATTGTTATTTTGTAGGTACTTCCTAATCTTTGAGCTCGAGGATGTTGTCAATATATTTCAATTTGAACCTTAACAATTTACTATAAGGTAAATTTTAGACCATCAGTAGGCCATTACTTCTCCAGGTTCAATAAAATCTTACGGACAAGACTTAACAATTTAAATTTTTAATCAATGGAAAACCAAAGTAACAAAGTGCAATTTATATTAAGGTCTTGAAAAAGCGAATTTGTTAAACTTACGTAAAACTTATTAAATTCAGGTCTTATGTTTATGGGGGTAGAGTATTATTATGCAATCTCCATTAGTATGCAATCAATTAATTCCTTGATTAATTGATAATGGGACTTATCCCGGCCTTGAGGCTTGATTAACCAATAATTCCTTGTTTAATCGATGATGTGGTGGAAGGTACCAACGTCGTATAAGCGCCCTCAGGCTAAATCACATATTAATCAGCTGCTGCAGTTGATCAACATAACCACTTTTACTATGGAAACATCTTGGAAGGAAGCAAAAATAATTTTAACTTTTCCTTAGAGAATTAATTCGTTATGGTACCTACCTACTTGGTTAGATGATTGATATGATAATGCATGAGGTCGCTTTTTTGTAAACTACCTTACTTGATTTTAATAATTTATTAAAGGCAGTAAAAGTTGCAGTTGTGTAATATTTAAGTACCTACTACTAAGAATAGCACGTTATGAAATTATTTAAATAAAATTTATTTCATATTATTCATCTTCCCTTCTTCCTACATGCCGAAATTACCATTTTATAGTCAAAGTCTTGCACAATATAATTAAGTACTACCTAATTCTTCCTATAAGTAGATATCCGCAATTTAGTAAGTAGATTGAACAATTTTAGGCTTTAGCACAAAACTATTCTATGAAAAATTGTGATGGTTTTCAATCCTTTGGTATTTGGATGGTTTACCTACCCCCTAACAGGTATAAAATATAAATATAGCTGCACATGTTAATTGTTAAACAGTATCTAGTTTTTACCTGATTGCGTCAGAAGGAACCCTCCTAATAAATAAAATAAACCTAATAAAGTAGGTAGGTACCTTTGTCCGGGCCTAAAATGTGTATGTACTTGTTAGTATTTATAAATTTTTGAAATGTACAGGTGGGATAACCGAACGGGGCGCGCGGGAGATCGCGCAATGACGTTTCGTATCGTATCTCCTCTCCGGCCGGCCGGCCAGTCCGCCGCGCGGCGTTGTACCGAGTGTTTGTGAGGTTACGTCGCTTCGCGCGCCCGACCGTCTACCGCATTTAGAACTGACCCGTGAACATACACAAATACCACACACCTGTGAACAAAAACTCTACAGTGCTCCCCTTACAGTGAACTGAACAAACTGTGTGTCAAAGTGTCCAAAGAAAACAATCTTTCTAACCATCTCCGTAAGCCGAACCTCGTTGCGTGAGTACCTATCTAAAGTTATTTTAACTGTACTTTCCATGCTTTGCCATGCCGGTTCTTAGATGTCTATAGAGGTATTCGCAGAAAAAAAACCTGTTTGCGATCCGAATGATTGGCCACATCGGATATTTTGTGGAAAACGACGATCTAGGTCGTATTTCGAATGAAACCTGGCCGATTTTGATGCGGAGTTGCGGACAGAATGATTAGAAACGACGAGCTGCTCTTAGAAATGGTCGGCTTTCTGCTTTGCATCCGAGCGGAGCCAGTTTTTTCGCTCATTATCTTCGTTTCTGTTTTATTTTGCTATTCAGTTGGTAGCTTGTCAGAAATGCCTACTGCGGTTAGCAAGTTTAGAAACGAAATTTTGATTACAACAAAATTTCACTGTAAACCACGGAAGAGATGTGCTCTGTACAACAAACTGACGTGTTGATGCTGTTCGCTCACACAATCGTGCAGTTCTAATGTGTTTTGTTGAAAACACCTGTCCACTTTCACAAAATGCTTTGTTTGCTTCTCTCAAATCTCAATCAGCTGAAGTTTAAAAGGTAGGTAGCCAGGTTACCTACTTACAAAGCAACACTAGGTGTGTAGGCTGGTTCTCAGTAATATAGGCACCTACCTAGGACTTGAATGGATACCTACTTAGAAGTTGCGTGCCACACGGCATAATGCATGTCTAATAAGAAATCATTAACTTAAAAGTGGGTATGAAATATTAATATTGCTATCCCACGATATCAAACAATTCCATCGATGATTCTGTGAGAATTTATCTAGGTAAATAGGTACCTACTTGCCTTATTACAAAGGGGAATTACAAACGAAATTTCCCTACACCTCAGGCTACATTAAAAAATAAAAACATCACCTGTAGTAATTCACAATCATAGGTAAGTAGGTATTATATTTACCTACCATAGTAATGCAACAAGAAATTCGTCTTTACGTGCATTTAGGTAACTCTGCGTCAAAACAAAATTAAACAGTCTTAACTATTTGGGTTTAACTACATGAAATATTCACGTTACATTACACAAGTTCGAATCCGGTCTTACGTCCGTTTACCACTAAAACTCCAACGACCTTGCACACACTAAGATCACATTTGAAATTATTATTTAAATTTTTATTTGAAGACATGTTGCATGTATGCAATATTTACCGTACATTAATTTACCAAATAAGTAGGTATATTAATAATTAACAATTTAGAAATCTTAGGCTGAGTTGCACCACCCAAATTTGACTGTAGGTAACTATGACGATAACCGGTGTTTTTTGTATGGAGTTTGACAGATATTTGACGTTTGTCTCAGTTAAAGTAAGATGGTGCAATCCAGCCTTAGAAAATAGGTAGAACAAAACAAAAACAGATCACAGATTCTAATTCTTAGGTAGGTAGGTATTTAGTTACCTCACGTCACCATATTTGTAGTTAACCAACAGCTCCATAGTAGAAAGGTTAAAGCCCAGAAAATTCAATTAGTAATTAATACATTTATGGGGCAAAAGCGTTTTAACAGCTCACAATGTCAATTGATTGGCTGTGTCAACTAATTCTATTGATATCAAGATGGTAAGGGTCATTTTTGACTCCAGAAGTCCAGATACTTCTTTCATACGAAAGGAAACCTGTTATTTGTACACAGAAGTTAATTCTAGCGTGTTTATTAATACCCACACGTACGAACATGTGAGAGGTTAATTGGATTAAACAAAACGTTAATCTTGGCGCCCTCCTTACGAATGCCAAGTTGGTAAATCCGCCAGGAAATCAATAAAGTACCTACAAACATATTCGGAAAAGATCGCGCATCGCTACTCGCAAACAAACCGGTAGAATGCAGTCTTTTTAGGGAGATGGATGGATAAACCTGGGCGCAGACCACCAACTTTTAGTTGGCCGATAGTTAGGTCGGGCTTTTAATCAGTATGGAGATGTATGAAAGTGCGCACATTACATCGATTTGGTATCGGCCGATTCTTCATACAAATCAGAATTGGGCCCAACTATATCGGCCGACTAAAAGTCGATGCTCTGCGCCTAGGCTAAAGCTATATTTTACATTGTTATCATTGAAGGATTGAAGAGTACACAAATAGGTTTCATAATAACAATGTGGATCCTTCCTTCATCAGCCAATGGCGCGATGAGAGTGATGAGTTCACATCAACATTCACGCACGCGCTGGTTTGGCTGAAGCTTAATAAACCACAGTATGGCTGGTTTTAGTGTCACGCGGACTGTCAGTGCGGCTCCGCACAGCCGATCTGTATGAACTGCTAGGGAGCGAGCGGTTCCTCCGGACCGCATTACTCTAAAACGCTCCCCAGAATCTCATACCTACAGAACGGCCGTGCGGAGCGGGTCCGCACCGGACGGTCCGCGTGACACTAAAACCAGCCTATATTGTGCTTTTTTAAACATAACCCACCACCTTGTCAAAAATCCCAATTCTTCCAACCTACGGAATCGCTTTTCCTCCACAAGGGACACTACTGTATTCATTCTTTGTTGTGTTGAAAATTAAGTCGAAGAATAAAATAAGGTGTCGACGAGAACTGTCAAACAATGCCAAGTAAACGTGGGAAAACAATTCGATGACCTGTTTCTTGGCAATAAGGTTTATTTTGAGGTTAAGGTCACCCTTTGACTTTCGTCTGCTTTCTCAGTAAATATTGTGAAAATCTGGATTTATTTAAAAACATGTACAACTTCTACAATGAAGTATATGTATTTACTTGGTTTACTAATAAGAGATGTATTTTCGAAGCTTCTATGGTTCCTGGATTTTAAAATTTTTAGAAACTAAATGAGAAGAATCGTTTTTTTTTCTTTCTATATATTTTTTTTATAATCTGTACAGTTATTTCAGACTATTACCACCAAATACTAATTTTACGTTTCTATTTTATTTTTTGTTTGCGAACTGTAAATGGAACTTAATAAGTCAACCTATAATAAAAACAAGCTTCACTGAACTCAACCATTACCAAAAGTAAAAAAGAAATGTCTATCAGATTAATCGGGCGATTAGAGAATTATTATTAAACAAAGTTATCGTGTTGAAACGCAATTATAACAATACCTTGACGTTCGCTAATCGGTACCTTTCCACAATCCAAAGTTATCTAACCCGTAACTATTTGGTTACGGTTAGGGTTGTCACTGAAATCTGAAAAATCGGAAAGATTCTCAATTAACAGTTACTTATCATCTATACTTAGAAGTTCTTTATCATCTTTGTCACCATTTCAGCCACAGAACGTCCACTGCTGAACATCGACCTTCCTCAATGATTTCCAGATTAGCCGATTAGATGCGGCCTGAATCTTACGGAATCTCATCCAAAAGAGGATTTGGAAAACAACCCGAAGGACTAAAAAAAGTCAAAGAATACACTTATTGTTAATTAAATCAGGAAGAAGCACACTGTCTTATTTGATTTAAATAGCCATGCCATAACGTTCAAGAAATAATTATAATCGGGATTGGAGCTCATTTTATCGTCCGCCTAGCAACAGTGGCAACCCTACAATTTACAGTTACGTAAATATCTAATTACTTGCAAATCATATCGTCTGTCACTTCCTCGAAATAATCAAGGCACTATTAAAATGACCCGTTCGTTGTAGCTTTAGAGATTAAAATTGGATAAGTGAGATCGGTTTTGCGGTCCGATCGACTGTATCGAAATTCTTTAACCGTTTAGTAAAGGTATTGATTATGTTATTATACCTAGAAGAATAATCATGTAACGTTTTTTAAATTATTGCTTAAATATCGACGGGTCTGGTGATTATAAGTTTAACACACTGACATTTCGTATTTGAAAACCTTCAATGCAGTTTGCTTCTAAATAACAAAGCTGACTGTGTGAGTGTACCGAACTGTTACGTACATACCTTTTGGCTAAAAAACTTAATAAAGACGGACTCATCAACATTGACTGGTCTAATGTGAAGTAAGATAAAAAAACGAAAGAGTGGTTATTTATTTTAAACTTTTAAAGGCATTTGAAATCCAATTCGCATAGTATCTTCACGAATCAGAATTTCTAATAGTTGTAGGTAATAGGGATGTTTCCTGGGTCAAAAACCAAGAGTTTTAATTAGTCCGTCAGTTAACTTATCAAAAAATACTCTACACGTATTTTTCTCTTTTTTAAACTAATGAAATTTAAAGAGATAAAGTGCGCCAAAGTTCATAAGAAGAGGCCCGTGACGTCAATGCGTGCATAAAAGTGCCGCACGTTGTGACGTCGTGCGGAACTTCAACGCACCATAACTATGTAATTATTTGTTAGATTGACAAATAAAAATATATGTGTCCAATATTTTTTGATATTAAACATGACAGACTAAAAAAATTTTTTTTAGGAAACTAGCCTATTGTTTCGCATGCGAAATGGGAACCGAATACTTAAAATATACACGTCTATATTTACATTTTTTTAAAAGCAATTTGTATAGCACAATTTACTAATAGTCCCGTTAGCCCCTCGTGGTAAGCTAAATAAGCTTGTGTTACGAGTGGGCTCACCACAATAGTCGAGCGGCGGTGGGATTCGAACCCGCGTTCCTCGGATCTAGAGTCGGCCAGTCCGACCCATTCACCGTTCGGCTATCGTGTCTATAAATCGTATAAAATCGTGGCATTAATTATTGTAAACACTGAATAGAACTGAAAACCTGAATCGGACAATTGTGTAACAGTTTCAGTTACGAATTTCACGATGTGCAAAAAACCAAACGTCTCGCCTTGACACGGTATGCCAAGTGGCTGACTTGGGCAACTCGATAAGTGCTATGACCATTTTAGGGTTGTGAGATCTAGGCGACCTAGGTGTTTCAAAAGTTGAAATGAAACCTTCGGTGTTTAACGTTATAGTGGTAATTAATTGGGTTTTGTGGATAACATGTGCGCGGATTTTTCTCTTACTGAGCTTTTGGCTAAGTTTACTAAATTTTATGTAAATAGTTTCAGGTTTAAG